TCCCAAATTTTCCTCAAAATCTCCTTCCTGCCCTTCATTCCCTTTCCCCTAAAATCTGTCGCCTACTCTTGGCTTATATGAAAGCCAACGAATTATTCTTCTGACTTTTCCCCTCCTCCCTGTCCTTTGACGCGCGGCTCGCTGTCGGGCGGTAGCAGGCGCACGGTCATAGGGGGGGCCCCCCCCACTAATCTCTCCCCACCCCATCAGTTTAATCGATGCCAAGCATGGCAACCGTCAAGAACTAAACTCGCGGACCTCAGTGGCCTAGTCCCAAGTGACCTAATCCTGTAAGGTTGCCCGGCCAGAAAAGCAAGAAGAAGAAGAAGATAAATAATATCTATGTGTGACAGCCAGTCGTATTGTACATCCAGATAATTTTGTTAAACTGGCGATGCAATCCCGTTTCACGCATGATGTACATAATGCATAATTTATCCTTAGGGTCTGCGCACAATAGGAGAAATATTAGGAACAGATATTATATATAAGAATTTTAACCTTTCAGAACTGTGTACTGTGGAATGTGCGCTTTCTGATAGATTAAAATTCTTATATTTAATATCTGTTCCTAATATTTCTCCTATTGTGCGTAGACCCTTACTTAACATTCACTCAAACAATAATGATAAATAATGCATAATGCGTGAAATGGAATACACGCTACTTGAAGATCGGGTTTAGAATTAGTTGTGAAGTTAATTTTTGACGATTTTCGGTTTACTACACTTTTTTGTACTACACTTACTACACCCACTACACTCGAGCTTTGTTCGTTTTCGCAATGTGTAAATATATTGAATTACAAAATAGCGACTTTTCCTAAATGAAAATAATAATGAAGACGTTTTCCCCAAATGATTTCAGATCGATTCCATTTATAAAATTCATTAAATAAAATCGCTATCCGCTAACTTGTCGCATGAGAAAATTTGTTAATAACAAGAAAAATACTATTACCCAAATGTTTAAATGCTTTTCTCAAATTTCCCCAAACGATTCCCAAATTATATACACATAAATAAATGAAAAATATTCAGTTTGTCTGCTATCTTGTTAGTGGTTATGGATTGCGGTTCTTTATTAATCTAGTGACTTTATGCATCCATTGTTCACAACTCTCGCATCGTGTTATCCTTATGGCTCCTGCACACTGAACGCGGAAACGCTTGCCGCGCGGCAAAATGCGACACAGTAGCCCATCGACATATATTATGGACTGCGCACAGGCTGAAAGAATATGACCGGCACGAAAGAAAGAGATAGCGACCGGTGTGGGTCAAGTTCTGTCTTTTTCTAATAGCTCTGTCTCTTTCTATTGTTTAGCGATATCCACTGGGCGGTAATAAAAGCAGCCAATAGGAGTATTAGAAAGAGCGAGCGATTAACCCACACCACAGTATAACCATACCCAGTAGCGACACTGAGTGTCGGCACCTTTGATGTAGTAGGTTCCAGGTCACGTGGTATACCACCATATTGTTAAATGTATCGGCGCTGCAATTAAAACGTATACACGGAAATATAGCACAAGATTTCTCCTCCCTTCTCATCCCTTTTTATGTCTCCTCATTACTTCTTATTTCTTTTATTTTGTGATATACGTGCAATATCGGATATTAGATTATTTGTGTCTTCATATGTACGTATAAATATAATTAAAAAAATATTTTAATAAATATGCAACATTCGATTTGAGTGATAATCTGAAGAAAATACGTCAATATCAGGTAGGCATTTTAATGATGATTATATCACTCTTTTCTAATCAAATAACGATCAATTTATTATTATTAGATATTAATTTCAAGAAACGAAAGTTCACACGAAGAATATGTCATGAAACTGTAAATTGAGGTTACTTGTAATACTTGTACCTGGACGCATCCATATTGTTAAATGTACAAATTCACGCATGCGTACTGAAATTTGGTCAAGGTCAAACCGGCTAGTGTCGCTACTGGGTATGGTTATACCACGAAGTAAGAGAGAAGGAGACCGAACTTAATAGAACGCAAGCTGAAAAAGTGGTCCTGATTCGTGACCCCTAATTGGGAGGGAGTCCGCTGAAAGGAATAAATTCTTATCGTTGGGCGCCATTTGCAATTAACCTTACCCGAACAGTCCGGCCTGGCTTGCATTCACGAAGTAAGAGCGTGCTTGTATTATACGGAGAGGTTAAGACTAAAAGTTCCAAAAAATTAAAAAAGGTAAAGATTTATAAGAATTAATAGTGAATTCGATCACT